CTTTTTTGGCTCTCTCTAAATCAGCCTTCAATAATTTAATTTTTAGATGCATGTGTTCAACTTCTAATTCTCTCATGATGCGTTTATGCACAGCATCTTCTCTCAATATTGACAATTCCTCCTCAACAAGTTCTTTTTGTATTGAAGCCACTTCCAATTTCGCCTCTACCAACTTATTGTAGGGTTTCCTTTCCTTTGGTATACCTATAAAATGAAAATCAAATAATATAACTGGATTTTATATCTTAAACCAACAAGAATTGACGGTTTGAAATTAACACCTTGTATCTACAGTTTTTAGTAAATTTTCTAAATTTAATGAGGGTCTGTTGAATATCAATATTCTTATTTGCATTTCAGTGAGTTCAACTCCAAACATAAAACACATACAACACTGAAAAGGAGAAGCCGCCAGAAGTGAAAGTATTGGAAATACTCACTTAAAGCTGGGTGTTTTTTTATTTTAAATCTGTAGGTTTCCACACATTCCACTTCTTTGGCGGAGTCAACATTTTATCATCTTCGCCTTCTTCTGAATTGCTGGGCCCTGCCTCTAGCTCGTAACTCTTTTTTTTTTAGGGGGAGAGAGCGATTCATATGCATCTTCAACAACTACTAGTTCATCAACTTCAATAGGAAATGGCAGTGAGCTCTCGACATGGATTTCAGTATCTATTTCTGTCGTTTCTGAAAAGTAAAAAGTATGTGTTACAAATATGATAAATGAATAACCAAGCAGGATAGATAAATAACCATTTATATATACATAAATAAGTGCTTACCAAAGTTATTGATTTTATCAGAGTCATACAAACTCTCATCTCCTTCAACAGACAGTAAGATCATTTCTTTCACCTTTTCTTCTACTGGTGTCAAAGGGGGTGCTTTACTAGTTCCACCACCAGTTCTATATAACTCTGCCTTCACAAAGCTGGCCTTCTTTCTGGTGTCCCTCTTCAGCGCGAAATAACTTATCGAACACTCAAATTCCTTTTTTTTTTTAAATCAATTTATTCAGTACAACAAAATAATTAGACAAAAGTACGTCTTTACAGTAAGAAAGTTTGATTATGAATGCCGGCCAGTTCCCTGGAATCTTCGCAAGTCGGCTTATTTTCCGGTGTACGCTTTCGTAGACTCAGCATTCTTTCTATGGGAACCGTGTTGGACGTTGATGTAATTCCTTCCCCACAGAATTCAACTCCGGAGGGTTAGCGAGGGAGTTGAACATCGGAAAGTTCTATGTCTCCTCTTGGGCCTTGACTGGGTCGTCTATGGATATACCATGGCAATATCAGCTTCCTATAACAGATGTACAGCAATACTGTGAACAATACTAAGTAAATAGCTATTGTCCACAAACTAGGGGTGTGTGAAATTCTTCCAAATGACACGTCTGGTTGATTATTAATAATTTGAGTTTTAATTTCATGAAGTTCGTCCAGTTTAATATCCTCTAACTGAAGGCTGGAATTCAGGTTTGGAATGGATTCGACTTCTAGGCTCAGATCAGGTAGTAGGATTGGCTGTTTCGGGACTGTAGAAATTCTATCGTTGGCGATTATTTCCTTCTGGCAGATTATTTGGCAACCTACTGGAATTTCTATTAAGTAGGTTCCGGTGAGTTTTAAAATCTCTTCTTGTTCTTCACAGATGAACTTAAGGGTCTCCATGGATGGCAGTAATACGATCCATTGATTGGAATCTTCCAGTCTATTGAAGATTGGTTTGGTGAGCTCTATTCGAACTCGATTGCAAGATGTTATATTCTGTACACTCAGCATCTGAATCTCGCATGCTGGGTTGTTTTTTTCGACTTCTTGAAGGTGTAATTTTTTGCAAGTATNGATTCCAAAAATAATATTATATACAGAGTGTTCCATTTGAAAAATCAAAGTTGCTACTGCTTTCTAATAGAAGCGGCAACACCGCATTGTCGAAAATATTTTAGTTGGCTAGAGAATGTCCGAATATGCCCTCCATTAAATTTTCAAAGTGATCCGTTGTCTGGTTCACCAGAAACGTCCAATGTGCCATCCACCGTGAATCAGCCTGTATGTATGTACTTCTTTCCTTATAGAGAATAATATTTTCTTTATGATAATCACAAACTCTACGAGCATTTTCTGGAACAGATGAACAAGCATACTTGGATGATACATACCTAACCCTTTTATACCTGAAATGTTAGTAAAGGTGATACAATGACCACATATTGAGGAAATGAACCTGTCTTCGTGAGCTCAATATGTAGAAAATCAACAGTAGTGATAATTGAGAATGAAAACAAAATTTGGTCTGGTAGGCCGTGGTCGAATAAAACTTGTAATATCAAACGTTTCGTCTGTTACTGTGGTAGATATCATCAGTGGTATGTATTCTTATACAGTGTCATCCCCAAAGTATGCACCATATGGGAAACTTTTCGACAAAAAGTTATTCCTGATAAAAATTTGTGCATCTCCTAAAACTAAACATGCACCAACAGAATACAGTACAACACACGTAATATACGAGGATCAGGCCCTAAATATAATACGTTGGCAACGACGTGACGGTAGTCACGGGCGGGTTTAGTGAAGGTAGATGTTACGTTTTATCCGCGTAAATACTTCCATGGTGGAGGATGCTGAAATCGCGGTTGTTATGATAACGAAAAAACCTAAAGGAGAAACTTGTATTCTGGAATTTTTCGAGAGTACATTATAATTCTGGCAATTTCCAATGAAACTTTGGGATGTACCTATAACTGATGTCATTCAACAAATGTCCAAAACAAGTAATCCAGACTATTTTCTTAAATCTTGAAAAAATTCACGTAAATTAGATATCTGGTTATAAAAAGCGGAGTTATCAATGAGTTTGTGTCTCCTATGTTATCAATCTTGTATTGAAATAGTTATTGCAACTGGTTCTGAATGTTATCCAGAATATTCAAAAGCTCCGTACTGGTATATCAATTCAATAGTCAAATATAGAAGACCAATGGAACTCTGTAGATATTCGAATGAATTTCATTGAAAAAATTAGATTGCTCTTCTTATGAACAAAGTGATCTGAAACGATCAAAAAGACACTTATTACCTAATTATACAGATTGAGCCAATTTGAATGTAATTCCTGATAACTCCTTCAATCTTGGAGATGAAAAATTGTTCTGATTGAAAACCTAGTAGCAATTTTACGTTCAATGAGATGCTACAATGAAAAATTAATTGAGTGATACTTTTTTGGGTAAAATGCATTATTTTTAGACATATACAGGCTGATTCACGGTGGATGGCACATTAGACGTTTCTGGTGAACCAGACAACGGATCACTTTGAAAATTTAATGGAGGGCAAGATTTTTTGAACCGATGAATATTTTATACCCAAATCTTCTTCAGCACTTCTTATCGATGACTCGGGAAATGCGTGAAAATATGCTAAGACATTAATCTGGTTGTCTTCGAAAGTTACGGGTCGAGGCAAGTTTCTTGGTGCTTTTAAAGTTGATCCAAATGCATTGAAATTGTTCTGAATTCGTATAAATTTCTTGAGGTTCATTGGCGGTAGAT